GTTATAACTAAAGTTAATGTATAAGCTTAAAGTGTTAACTGTTGTACGCAAACTAAATATGAAAAATATCCAGAGATATTAAATTAAAAAATAATTAAACCAAGAATAATGTCCCTCTGCCTCGGAAAGATGGAATATTAGAAAGCTTTACATAAGTAAAATATAAGTTCTAGTAACATCACTTTTTGTACACTGTTTTAATATGTTAGTAGATGGGGTTTCATAATCAAATACAGAAAAAATCAAACAAAAGAAACATATTTAAAATATAAAATATCAGCTTCTAACAACTTCAATGCCACATATATATTATTGATACCTTTAACAATATATCTTATAATAGCTATATAATCTAAACTATTATAAATAATGAAAAAAAAAAAATTATACTGTATGACATTTTAAATGTTTGATTTATTTAATAATTCATGGTGAAGAATAGTTTTCACATTAAACCAGAATCCATATGGAATATGGATGAAATGGTCTACATCTTGACGTAAATATTTCTTAGGGTTTTAAGACTGACACCGCACCACCGGGAACAAATTGGAGCTGGTCCGATAGTGGTTGGACTAAACAGGGTCTAGCCAAAACTATGGTTAACCAAGACATTATTAGAAAACACTGATCCTCAACTTTCTCAGTTAATGATTCTAGATCGATACGATTACCACAACTTTATTAAGCTAATTGGTATTTTGAAAATATTTTGTGCGGCTGTGGCGCAGTGGTTAGAGCGCTTGCTTTATAAGCAGGAGATTAGGTTCGAAACAAGCTTTGGACATATTTCGCATCACGGTAAGAAAGGAGGCGTAAACTTCCTGGTTAAATACACTTCCGCGGTGCTCTGTGACAAGACCGTTAGGATTTTTTAGGGTACCTTAAATATTAAATATATATATATATATATATATATATATATATATATATATATATATATATATATATATATATATATATATAAATACATATATATATATATATATATATATATATATATATATATATATATATATATATATCATATATATATATATATATATATATATATATATATATATATATATATATATATATATATATATATATATATATATATATATATATATATATATATATATATATATATATATATATATATATACATATATATGTTTTGCACAGTGATATCGGTTAATCATTAATTGGCATAAATGAGAATGAAAATCTGAATGTACATGAGAAAAATAGCAGAAAGTCGACTTCTTATAAATGTTAATAATGTAATAACTACATCGCAATGGTTACAAATACTGGAAACTGAAATGAATCCTGCTAAGTTGACAAGCTGCAATTATCTATTTAAAAACGGCTTTGATCTTGCTTGCGAGAACGGTTTGTGACTTGGTGTGCACTGAAACGTTTAGTTCTTAACAACATGTTCAAAAATATACCTGAACATCAAAATCAAGCATTAGCAAAAGAAACCTAAGTTACTGAAAACAATTGTTCTTCGGTTAGTATCGCACTCTTATGTTTTTGCTACACTACTATACTATAAAAATCATTCTTTAAACTTAAGCAAGCAAATGTCACTAGTTTTTATGTACAATTTGAAAAAAATCTGAAAAAAGCATAAAGTTTACTAACTTTAACTCCTCCTACTAAATAGCCTTTACATTAAATTATATTGTTTTACCTAAATGACATCACCTTCAATCTGTTTTTATTTTCACATCTCCCAGGTCTACTTAACTGGACGGCTTCATTGGTCACTTTTTGCAATCATTGTGTCGCATAAAAAAAAAACTTTGTTCTTTGTACACTGTACACCACAACAATAAAACGGACATTAGGCTGTCCCGCTGGATGTGGTTAAGGCGATCAATAATCTAAGGACTACGCTAACACTCACGCACTCGTTCAGTCGGAAGCTCTACAATGCACGGTGGATCATCACTCGCTGACCATGTGCTCTGATCTTAAATCTCACTTCATAGCACATCATTCTACACCAGCACGGGGCAGTAGCTCTTTTGGCTAATAGCTGATTGCTTGTAGCCTACGGTAATTAATATGTGCATTCGATCAATTAAAATCCATTCTGTAGGTCTTACGTCTGGCTCTGATGTGCTAGATCATAAGCGCAAGAAGTGAGTGTATTTAGCTTTCTATTTACCCGATTTGAAAGTGAACGGAAACATAACAAGACCTTATTAGACGACAAAACGGTACGCACTAATGCACAACACCATCACTCCAGTAGACATCCACAGTCTTCAAAATCAATATATCAAATATTTGTTCTTTGTTACATACGATCTACACACAGAGTGACATGAGTGTTAGTTGGTTCTCCCCATGCCCCCTTCCCCAAGCATTTAACTTCGTTCTTCACTTTTACAAAAGTCTTATCAATCATTTTATATTTTTTATATTTTTAATTTTTTATTCAATGATACCATCTTCTAACTGTTTTTATTATCGCATCTCTCAGGTCTACGAAACTGGACAGCTCCGTTGGTCACTTTTTGCAATCATTGTTTCACATAAACAAATTGTTTATCATTGTTTCACATAAACAATCATTGTTTCACATAAACAATCATTGTTTCACATAAACAATCATTGTTTCACATAAACAATCATTGTTTCAATCACATAAAAAATCATTGTTTCACATAAACAAAAAAACAAATGTTCTTCGGTTAGTATCGCACTCTTGTGTTTTTGCTAATACTACTATACAATAAAAATTATTATTTAAACTAGCAACTTAATAAAAGCTATCAACTGTGACTAATTTTTATGTACAAGTTGATAAAAATTCTGAATGAAGCATAAAGGTTACTACCCAGTGGGCACAAGAACGTTTTGCGAACTTTTTCTAATGGTCCCCTAAAACGTTTTTTAATGGTTTTTTAATGGTCCATATGAAACGGTGAACGGACGTTTTTTTAAAAACGTTTTGTGAACTTTTTTTAATGGACCTACAAAAACTTTTTTTATTGATTTTTTGAACGTCCATATGAAGCGGCGAAGGGACGTTTTTCTGAAAACGTTTTTTAATGGTTTTTATTACGTCTAAATGAAACGTTCTGTCGTTTTTAACATTTTTTTAACAACTTTTTTTCTTATTATCAGTTATTTAAATACATAACTTATGTTTTACAGAAAAAAACCGTTTCACAAATGAAAACTTAGGTCTAAAAGTCTAGATCCGGATAAATAACTAAAAGTTTTAACATTTTGTGTTTATTTACAATGTTGCATACATTAACATGATAAAGTAGTTGTTTTTTTGCTATTCTAAAAGCTATTTATTCTATTATTCTCTTCAAACAATCGCCTTTCAACTTATCGACCAAATCGAATTTTGCTGTATGTGGCACTAATGTTCCTAAAAAAAAAAAAATACCATAGAAATCATTCATGCATTTCACTAGCATGTAAAAAAATGCATCAAAATGTAAATTATAGTAATAAGAAATGCTTAATGGAAAATATTACACAGTATATTAAAGGACCATATATAAAAATTAAAAAAGTATCTATAATAACTCTAAGTAGTAGAAGAAGGAGAGTTCCGGGACATTTTCATTTTCAACCATATTTTCAACCATAAATTAATATTAATATAGGGTTAACATTGAACCATATTGTATATAAATTATTTCGATAAGAAATAATTTTTTATTTTAAAAAATTCAATTTTTTAAAATAAGTGTTCATTTTTTATTTCTTGTTATGAAATATTACGAAAAATTCTTGCATGACGTCACAGGTCACGTGATTTGATTGATCAGTTCATAAAGAGATCTAAAATATATATTGAAGTTTGCTTCCATCAGCACTAAGTTGTCCTATTCGATCAGACAATATAACTGCATATGCCATAGTATTTGCTGGAACAGCTGTATTAAATGTTGCGTTAAATTGAACATCTATTACTGATGGTTTTGTAGCTTCTGGTTGATTACTTACATCAAAAACAAAAAGTGGATATAAATTTTTATAGTCTTGTGGATTTATGTTGCATTGTGAAATAAGTTCATTCAATCCATATAACTTTTCATTAAATAGAGTTGCATCTCTATAAGCTCTTGAGAATTGTTGATTTGGAAATGATAGATTATAATTAACAATTTCAGGATAACTTCGTGAATTAAGTTTTATGCACATATCTTTAATGTCACAATGATCAAATATTGCAGGATTTTGTTCTTGACTGTTATTTTTATTTGTTTGGAATCCGATAATAATAAATCTAGGTTTTGTACTAGTTGATGTCATATTCAGCGTCCAACTAAAATCAGTAACTGAATCAACATTTTTTAATTCACATTGCCTTCCAATATAAGATAATGGAAGTGTTTTGTTTGATTTAATTATGTTTTTAAGTTTTAAATCATATTCAAGAGATGGCTTAACATGTGGCATAAAAAGTGATACTTTAGTAAGATTGACTTGCCCAGCAGCTGTACCTGCAGCTCTAAAAATTGCATTATTATCACTTTCTCTAATTAGAATAAGTGTATGTTTTAATCCAAAAACAACTTTATCATAAGTATCACAGAATCCAAAAATATGTTTTAGAGGTACACAAAAGGAAAATTTTCCTTTTGTGTTTGGCTCTTGAATTAAATAAGATTGTCTTGCTTGAAATCCTAGATTTGTTGCAATCGCTGCAGTTGTTGATGAATCTCTAAACCATAATTGATTCATACCTTGAACATTTTGAAAGTAATTAGGATATTTGAGCAATCCTAACATTGTAGTTGCTCTACCTAAACAATTAACATTTTCTACAGTTTGACCAGATAATTGATATTCTGCTCTAGTAAATAAGTACATAAGACCATTGTTTATAAGTGTTACAGCATCTGCATTAGCATAAGATGTTCCATCTGCTTTTAGTAGTCTTCCTTCAATCAAAATATAAGCTTCAGATGGAAGTGTAAACAAGCTTTCCTCATTAATAGTTATACTTATTTCAGTACCAGGGTTATCAAAATTTGCAATTTTAGGAGAATATTCATGGTATTCAAATTTTTCAATACTCTCATCAATTATTGGATTTTCTGTAATATTTAATGTGTCAGAATTTGCCATTTTTTTATTATCAAGATAATTTTTTTAAATCATTTTCAAGAGTCTAAAATAAATTTTAAATATAAGTAACGTTTTTTTGTAAAATTATTAGATGCAGTTGTATACGATAAAGAATTTATATTAATGATGATGAGTAACATATATTAAAGAAATTTGTGATTATATAAAATGTCATATGTGAAATCTAAATATATTCAAGTAAATAATATTAATGGATCAAATATTCTTAAAATTAAATTTAATGAAAAAGATATTCAATTAGATGAAACAAAAGAGTATGAAATGGCCTTAATTAAATTAGAATATGTTAACTATTCAATTTCATCAAAAATAATTTGTTATTATATCTTAAATAATATTGTTGATGGAATAAATATATATGGTAATAACACTAGTGTAATCTATTCATTTTTACCAATGACAAGACCTTCAGGCGTAAGTCTTTTTGAAGAACCAAATCATAGAAGTTATTTCCCATTAAAATCAAAAAAACTTTCAGAAATGAAAGTTGAAGTAATAGATGATGAAAAAAATTCTATAGATTTTAGTAATGGAAGAATAATAATACAATTTCATCTAAGAGAAGTAAAGTAATTTTTTATATCATAAAAATGATATAAAAAATATATGTATATATAAAATGAAGATAATTATACATGGAGCAGGTACTGTTATAAATACTACGCTTGGTCAAAATATTGAACTAGATGAAGATAAAAACTATGAAATGGCTGTAATGGGATTAGATACATATAATACTTTTCCTAATATAAATGAAACGAATAATAATTTTAGATTTAGTACAGATGATGGTGGTAATTGGGTAAATTTCACTTTTAAAAAAGGAGCATATGGACTTGCATCTTTAACTAATTACTTAGATGATCATTTACTAAAAGAAAGTCATTTATCTGGTACAATTACATTTGCAGCAGAAGTTGCTACAATGAGTACAAATATGACTCTTTCACCAAGGTTTCAAGTTGATTTTACAATTCTAAATTCAATTAGAGAAGTTTTAGGTTTCGAAAGTAAAATATATCGTGGAGGAAGTAATATATCAGAAAAAATAACTAATTTAATGCATTATAATACTATACATATCACAAATAATCTTGTTAAAGCTGTACGTGTAAATAATAAAGTTATAAATGTTATACATTCATTTTTTCCGAAAGTTGGTGTTGGATTTAAAATTACAGAAAAAGTAGATTATCCAATTTATTCAGAAATGACATCAAAATCATTTATTAATATTACAACTACTTTAGTAGATCAGGATGGGCATCTCCTTGAAAATCTTGGGGAACAATTAACTATTAAGTATCATATTAGAGAACGTGTTGAACCTGGTGATACTGTAAGACTTTTAAAAAGAAATGAATATCTATTAAGTGAAATACTAGCAATTTTTAAAAAATATTATATTAAATAGAATAGTATTAATTTTTATAAAACTATGCAAATAATTTAAAAAAATTATTGCATATATAAAAATGACAATATATTACGATACTCTTAAAAATCTTTCAGAAAGTCAGAAAGAAAAAATTAAAAACGCAATTGAATCTGATACTAATGCTGTTATAAAACTAACATATCAAGATTTAAATGGTGAACATAAAATAGCTTTAACAGATTCACAAATAAATAGAATGACAGCAGCTTATTTAAAAAATAAGGGTATAACACTTACATTAAGTAGAGCACAACTTAAACATAACGCTAAAGTAAATGGAGGGTTTTTATCTATGCTAGGATTAGTTAGAAGTTTTTTAGCTTCAAAAGTAATTCCAGCAGTTGCAGCAGGATTACTGACCGGAACAGCTGCTGCAGCTGGAAGTACTATAGTTAATAAAATTGCTGGAAATGGTATTGTTTACATGAAAAAAAATGGACAAGGAATTAAAGTTAGAGTTGCAGGAGACGGATTATTTATCGATCCATGGGTTAATAGTAGTAGTTATTCAGGTAATGGATTGTATGTAAAAAATGGAAAAACATATTCACAAGTAGGTAAAGGTTTATTATTAGGTGAAAATTCACCATTTAAGAATATCCCATTATTAAATTTGTTTCTTTAGGTATCTTTAGAATCAATACATAAATAAATATATATTTTTAAAAATATATATTTTTATGAAAATGCGCAATCTGTTATATAAATATTATCTAATCCACTTCTATATTTTCCATAATCTCTTTTAGAAGACAAATCTATAACAGCAAATCCATGCGGTTCAGACCAAGCCTCATTACAAAATTTTTTAAATTCAGCTTTCGACATGTCACTTGAAACATGTTCATTATAAATGTGATTTAAATTCTTTGCATCTTGCGGAAACAAGCATATAAAGTTTGCATTTTCTCTTATCGTTCTCTTAGGTATATCAAAATAATTTTGAGCTAAGTAGAAACAATCAACATTACCATGTCTTCCTCTTATATAGTACTTTTCACACTTGTTTTGCTTTGTTAATTGTAAATCATCGAATATCATTAAATTATTTTTATTTGAGTTGAGATCTTCAGGTTCTGGTACATCATCTGCTGTTTCAAAAAACTTGCATTCAATATCTGTTCTCTCTTTTAAATTTTTTGAAATGTCTTCAATAATAAGCTCAGGATTAACATTCATTTTTTCTATTTTATTTTGTAAATTAAAAAGTTCAATAATAACCTCTTTTGGTAATTTTTTTTCAAATGAACTTTTTAATATTTTATATTCTGGTTGAAAAAGAGATTTCCCAAAAACTTGTAAATTATTATAATCTAACCAACCAGGTCTTAAAAGTAAGTTTAATAATAAAGTTGTTTTTCCACAACCTGACTTTCCTACAATAATTCCTCTTATACTTTTAGGTAATAACTTATTATTATTACGTTTACTTCTATTTACATTCCACGATAAATCTATGACATCCATTTTTTTATTTATAAAGAAAATTATTTATATCATTTTTTAATTTAAGTTAAAATGTTTTCTTTATAAAAAATGTCGATAAACAAAATGGGATATACTCAAAATTATATTGGACAAAAAATAAGTATTTTTTTAACTATTAATATAGATTCAGAGCATCATGCAGTAGTTAATAATGGAAAATGTAAAGTATTTGCTGAACGAGATTTTATAATAAAATCAAATTCATACAAGTGTATTGATTCAAAATGTGGAGTTAGAATAGATGAAGGGTATGCATTAGTTGCACTATCAGAAGAATATAAGCCATATTTATACTTGTTTAATTCTGTAATAGCATGCTCTACTGATAATATTGTTGTAACTTTATATAATAATGATGAAAAAGAAGATAAAAAAATTAAAAAAGGAAGTTGTTTATTCTACATCTTATCTTATAACGGAATTATAAATAGAATTAATTATATATCTAATTCTTATGGATCCAAAGGATCTAACGAAGCTAAAAATGTAAAACCAAAAGAAAAGCCACAAAGTGATAAAGACTCTGTTAAATCTATATTATCAAGTATAGATAAAGACAGTGATAGATCACAAAGTAATCAAAACTCTGATAAATCTATATTTAATTTTGGTAAATAAAGGTATAGGAGATTTAATTATCATAAACATAATTTATTAAAGTAATTTAAAAGAAATGTTTCTTTATAAAAAAGAATGGATTACAATAATGAGGAATGTAAAAGTATTTATCCAGATATAAGTCAGTTTAGAGTTTATCCAACTGCACCAATACTATCTATTGATCAAAGATATCGACTAGATAAGATAAGTGAAATTCAAGGTAAAATTGAATGTGAAAAAAGTAAAAGAGCTATGTTAAGTAAAAAGTATCATAGAGCTTCAAGAATAATTTCAGTTGTTGATAATTCATTACTAGCAACTACTATGACACTTGGAGCTGTTGGTATCGGTTTTTTAACAACAATAGTTGGAACACCAGTAGCTATTGTATGTGAAGGTACGGCATTAGGTATTGGTTTATTATCATTAATAGGATCACAAGTTAATAAAAAATTAAACTTAAAAGCAGAAAAGCATGAAAAGATTAAAGTATTAGCCGATGCAAAGTTAAATACTATAAGTGATCATATTTCTAAAGCTTTAAAAGATGGTAAAATCGATGATGTAGAATTTACAATGATACTTTCAGAATATGAAAAGTTCCAAAAAATGATTGAAGAAATTATAACAAAATCTAAAAATGAAATTGATGAACAAACTAAACAATCAATATTTAATGAAGGAAAAGAAAAAGCTATGAAAGAGGCGATGGAATTGTTAGAGAATAGGTTTAATAAAAATCAAAATATTAGCAAAATAAATATTAATTAATAAAAATATTAATTAAATCATAATTTATGTTCAAGTAAAACATAAATTATGTTCTTTATTATAAAAATAATTTAAAAAATTATTGCATATATAAAATGCCATTTTTAAAAGCTACAGATCCTGATAAAAGAGATCAAATGATTAAAGAATTAATAGAATTAAGAAAAAATATATATCATAATACATTGAATGAAAGATTAGGTGTTGATGATTTAGAAATTAACTTTAAAAAATTGTATAAACCACTAATAGATAGTCAATCTGGAATAAAAGAAGGTTTATCTAAATTAGAAAATAAAGCTGATCAATTAGCTAATACTTTTTCAAGCTATCCTGCTTTACTAGATTCTGAAACTAAAGCAATTACAGAGCAAGTAAAAATTATACCGCCTGAAGTTGTAAATAACATGACATTAGGAGCTATCGCAACAGAATATTTAAAGTTGTATACTGCTAAAAATAGTAAAAAAGTATCAGATGACATATTTGGTATACATTACAATGAAGATGATAAAAAATTTTACATTGGTAAAAAACCAATAACTATTGAAGGTAATGATATAACTATTGAAGATAAAAAATACATTGGAACACCTGGTCTTTGGGAGATCATTGTAAAATCTCATCCTGATAGATATACTAACGATGATCGTAATAAGTATAAAGAAATTTTAGATCAAAC